TTTGAGTGAGGTGAAAGTGGGTGGCACAGTCTTTGGTGCTGGCACAAGTGAGGGAAAAGTGGTGAGACATCCCCAGTGAATGAATAGACAGTGCCGAGAGCAGGCAGGGTTTAGTAAGGTAAAGGGGAGGGAGCGTTTAAAAGGGTGAGAACAAGTGAGGGAAGATGTTGCATGCAGTAGTGAGAATGGCCGAGCATGAGGCTCAGTAGGAGGTAGGTGTTGTAGCAGAGAGAGAGAGTGAGTGTGAAGTAGCAGAGAGAAGGCGGTGGCACCTACCGTAGTGGAGTGGAGCAGCTCGTTGACATTCTTTTGGCACCAATGGGCATTTCTCCAGGCTAGACTGACCCAGGTGGTCACCTCAGACTGTCTGGTGGATTGCCTCCTCCTCTGCCAGTTCTGGAGGAAGAGGGCATCCCTCCTCTGTGTCACTCCATCACTGACCTTCAGGTCCCTGTCCATTACAAATGGTGTCAATCTCCCCATGTGTGCCATGCCCATGTCTAATGTCTCCTACCTTGCAGAACAGCTTTGAACCGAGTGCACTTCAGAATTTTAAGATGATATAAGGATATTGGATTCAGTGAAATTCCTGAACAAAAACAGAAGTTGCTGGGAAGAGGTCAGCAGGTCTGGCAGCATCTGTGAAGAAAAAATCAGAGTTAACGTTTTGGGTCCAGTGACCCTTCCTCAGAACAGTTCTTCACCGACGCTGCCAAACCTGCTGAACTTTTCCAGCAACTTCTGTTCTTGTTCCTGATTTACAGCATCCACAGTTCCTTCAGTTGTTTTTCTTCAGTTAAATTCCTCTTGTATTGTTTTAGCTGAGTTTAGTACCACTACCGAACAGTGGGGAAGGAATGTTTGATAAATATTAGTCAGTCATTCTGTAGTATTCCACAATGTCATTGCAAAATCATCCTTTGAAATTATGAATTCAATCTTTGTTTCGAAGAATGTTTTGAATATTTAATAAACATGTATTTTCTTTTTACAGAATACAAAACCACTAATTAAAAAGTAAGTACCCCATCTATACAAATTCGATACTTAACAATGTTCTGATGAATTTATGGATTGTTGTCTAACAACCGATTCTCATTGACTTTTTTCTAGGATTTCCGAAGCATCTAAAATAACTCACTTGGAAAAAATAGAACGTGGCTTTGAGATTATGGATCACTTTTCAGTAAAATTTAAGAAGGAAGAGAAGCTTCTCAGGGAGATAGACTTCCAGAAATGTGAGGACATATTCCACAACAAAGTTAGATTCTTTACTTTTCATCATAAATAAGAGGTGAAAGCTCAGCAGCTTCAGCTTGCAGCCATTAAGATGTTGGTAACAGGAAATATGATTAATCAATTCTGCTTTTAATTTAGGAACGGATCTGATCATACAATGTTAAACTAGAAAAGCTTCTTGATCAGGTCATAACAAGTTCATCTGTGTCTAACGCTTCAACTAACCACTGCTGGGGTAGGTTTTCACCAGGACAGCAGTAATCTGGCAGAGTGATTCCTCAACATGTTAATGAATTCCCACCCACCACCTCCTTCCAATTCATTCCATTGAAAACAGTGGAATGATATCAGGTGAATTCTGTAAAGTGTGGGTGGTCTGCCCCAGCAGATTATTGATCAGGAAGATTAAGATACTCCCTTCTTTTAAATGTTTAGCTGATTTGGTGGGAGATAGTTTCACTCAGTTGGCTGAATGGCTATTTGCAGCAGTGTGGGTTCAATTCCTGCAGTGGCTATAGGATGAAGGACTCTCCTTCTCAACCTCACCCCTTGCCTGAGACGTGGTGACCCTCAGGTTAAGCCCCAACCAGATGTCTTTCTCTAATGGAAAAGCAGCCCTACAGTCTGGTAAGACTATGGTACGCTTACCACAATTGACTTGGAGATTTTATGTTTCTGTCACAGATTTTCAATACAGGGGGAATCAATTGACATGTTCATCTAATGGTGAACTAAGTTTGAAGGGAAAGTGACAACTTTGCTGCAACATTACAAACCTGTTCCTCCAACTTTCACCCTTTTCAGGGACAGTTCTCTGCTCGGAGTAGTTGAAGTGCAGACTTCGTATTGTATGCGTTTTATAGATTCATACAACACAGAAACAGGCCCTTTGGCCCCACTCATCCATGCCGATCAACTTTCCTAAACTGAGCTAGTCCCATTGGCCTGCATTTGGCTCATATCCCTCTAAACCTTTCATTTCTATGTACCTGTCCAAATGTCTTTTAAAAATGTTATAGTTGTACTCGCCTTTACCACATCCTCTGGTAGCTAGTTTCATATACGCACCACTCTCTGTGTGGAAAGGATGGTCCTCAGGTCCCTGTTAAATCATCCCCTCGAACCTTAAACCTATGGCCTCTGGTATTGGACTCCCTAACCTGAGGAAAAGACCTTGACTATTCATCCTATCCATGCCCGTCATGATTTTTTAAGCCTCCAACAGGTCACGCCCCCAGTCTCCTACACGCCAGGAAAAATGAGTCCCATCCTATCCAGTCTCTCCTTATAACTCAAACGTTCCCAGTCTCAGTAACATCCTTGTAAATATTTTTTGCTCCCTTTCCAGTTTATTAACATCCATCCTATAGCAGGGTGACCAGAATTGTATGCAGTACTCCAAATGTAGCCTTACCAATGTACAGGCATAACATGACATCCCAACTCCTGCACTCAGCGCTTTGACCGATGAAGGCAAGCATGTCAAATTCCTTCTCCACCACCCTGTCTACCTGTGACACCACTTTCAAGGAATTATGTACCTGCACCCCTAGGTCTCACTGTCCAACAACACTACCATTAACCGTATAAGTCCTGCCCATGGTTTTTATTGCAAAATGCAATACCTCACACTTATCTAAATTAAACTCCATCTGACATTCCTTGGCCCACTGACCCAATTGATTAAGATCCCACTGTACTCTTAGATAACCTCCTTCACTGTCCACTATACCACCAATTTTGGTGTCTTCTGCAAACTTACTAACAACACCGCCTATATTGTCATCCAAATCATTTATATAAATGATGAACAACAGTGGACCCAGCACGGATCCTTGCAGCACACCGCCGGTCACAGCCGTCCAGTCTGAACAACAACCCTCTACCACCAACCTCTGCCTCCTACCATCAAGCCAATTTTATATCCAATTGGCTAGCTACCCCTGGATCTCATGTGATCTCACCTTGCTCATCAGTTGACCATGCAAAATCTTGACAAAGGTCTTGCTAACGTCCATATAGACAGCATCTACTACTCTGCCTTCATCTATCTCTTGGCCACCCCTTCAAAAAACACAATCAAATTTGTGAGACATCCCTAATCAGTCTTTGTCTTTCCGAATACATACATATATGTATGTCCCTTCCAACAACTTACCCACCATTGACATTAAGCTCACTGGACTGTAATTCCCTGGATTTTTTCTTTTTATGGCAAAGCACTTTTCAGAGAAATTTTTATTTGGTTATAGTGAATTTGTAGAAAGTATCAATGTTAGCAAAAGAGCGTAGGCAAAGATAACACAAAATAGTTTAAATTTATGTGCAATATAGATGAATGTAACTTTCTTAATTCCATTCCATTCCAGGGCATTGGTGAGGCCACACCTAGAATACTGTGTTCAGTTTTGGTCTCCTTATCTGAGGAAGGATGTTCTTGCTATAAAGGGAGTGCAGCAAAGGTTTACCACATTGATCCCTGGGATGGCAGAACTAACATTTGAGGAGAGGTTGAGTCAGTTAGGATTGTATTCTCTGGAGTTTAGAAGAATGAGGAGGGATCTCATAGAAACCTATAAAATTCTAACAGGACTAGACAGGTTAGATGCAGGAAGGATGTTCCTGATGGTGGGAGAGCCCTGAACCAGGGGTCATAGTTTAAGCATTCAGGGTAAATATTTTAGGAAGAGAAAAAGTTTCTACACCTAGAGAGTGGAATTAATTACCACAGAAAGTGATTGAGGCCAAAACGTTATGTTTTCAAGAAGGAGGTCAGTATAGCTCTGGTGGCTAGAGGGATCAAGGGATATGGGGGGAGGATGGGATTAAGGTAACGAGATTGATGATCAGCCATGATCATGTTGCATGGGAGAGCAGGTTTGAGGGGCCAAATGGTTTACACTTTCTCCTATCTTCTATGTTTCTATTTAACCTTCCATTTCCCAGACTTTTCATTTCCATGGACTTTCAAGGAGAAATTGCAAAGTTAGTGCCTCTGGAAATAACTCAGAAAAAGACAATTGTTAAAATCATTTCATAGTAGGCTCCTATAGCATTAAGGTCTTGTCAGGTGGTGCTGACTTGAAGCCCAGGTCATAGTGTTGACTGGACAATGGATGAAAAAGATTACATTACTTATATAGCATTTACCGAAGTTGGCATAAAGTTTGGTGGCATTGTCGACAGTGTGGATGACTGCATAATATTGATAAACTAGTTGAATGGGCAAAACTGTGGCAGGTGGAATTCAGTGTAAGTGAGTTATCCATTCTGGACTGAGAAAGGATAGATCAGGGTATTTTCTAGATGGTATAAAGTTAAATACAAGGGATGATCAAAGATATTTGGGGTTCAGGTGCCTAGGTCCTTAAAATGCCACAAACAGGTACAGAAAATAATTAGAAGTCTAACGGAATGCTGGCCTTTACACCTAGTGGACTGCAGTATTAGGACACAGAGGTTATGTTGCAGTTATGCAAAAGCCTGGTAAGACCCCACTCAGAGTACTGTGAACTGACCTCGACACCACACCTTAGGGAGGATACATTGGCCTTGGAGGGAGTACAGAAGAGGTTCACAAGAACGATGCTTGGACTTCAGGGGTTAAGTTATGAAGTGACATTATACAAGTTAGGAATAAAAACAGAATTTGCTGGAAATACTCAGCAGGTCTGGCAGCATCTGTGAAGAAAAAAATCAGAGTTAACGTTTCGGGTCCAGTGATACTTCCTCAGAGCACTTCACAGATGCTGAGCTTTTCCAGCAGCTTATGCTTTCGTTCCTGATTTACAGCACCTGCAGTTCTTTCAGTTTTTATTATACAAGTTAGGCCTGTTTTCTCCCGAATTTAGAAGGTTAAGGGGTGACCTCATCGAAGTCCTCAAGGTATTAACTGGAGAGACAGGGGAAATAAAGATAAACTATTTCCACTGGTTGGTGATTCTAGAGCTAAGTGGCATTAGGACTGGACCATCAGGAGACTTGTTAGGATGCACTTCTACACACATCAATTCAAGACTGTACAATGGGGCCTGACCTTTCAGTGACTCATACTGTCAGCGGTTATGGGTCTCATTTTGGGCTGAACAATCCTGAACTTGGCAGAATTCCAGGACATCAGATATGTCCCAAAAAGTCTCCATTTGTTAAATGGAGTAAACACTAAGAAGTGAGGAAATGCAGGGGATGGAACCCAATAGGATCTGGATTTGAATTGCTGGCATCTCAGAATTGTTCTGATTAAGTGCCTTTGCCATCATTTAGAATTTTGGGCCCACTATCTTGAAGGACAGGCTTGAGGGGCTGAATGGCCTATTCCTGTTCATATATTCCTATAAGGCAAAGTTCCGCTTTTTTGATGTGGGGAACAAAATGACAAATCTCTAGTAGGGAACGTGTCTGTGATCTTTGCTGACCATTGTGTACTGTTGGAGGCTGAGGGGGTAACCTTATAGCGGTTTATAAAATCATGAGGGGTACAGATAAGGTGAATAGCCAAGGTCTTTTCCCCCATATCGGGGAGTCCAAATCTAAAGGTTTAAGGTGAGAGGGGAAAGATTTAAAAGGGACCTAAGGGGCAACATGTTCATGCTGAAGGTGGTGCATGTATGGAATGAACTGCCAGAGGAAGTGGTGGGAGCTGGTACAATTACAAGATTTAAAAGGACATGGATGGGTATATGAATTGGAAGGGTTTCGAGGGATATGGGCCAAATGCTGGCAAATGGGATTAGATTAATTGAAGATATCTGGTCAGCATGGACGAGTTTGACCAAAGGGTCTGTTTCCATGCTGTATAAATCTATGATTCTATGACAATCTAACAATGATCTTTGCTGAGCATAGCATACTGTGACAATTGCTCCGTTGCAATCTGATTTTATTTGACATTGGGCGCTATGTTAGTGCCACCTGCTCCTAGTGTGTGGGTCGGTGCAGCTGGTGACAACACCATTTTAACATTTGCTGTGGCCACTGCCAGGAAGACTCAGCAATTTTGTATTGATGTTGCTGCCAGTTGATTGATATTCACGTATCAGAAGATGACAGCATTATTAAAGTAGAATAAAATATCTCCGCATGAGAACTCATACTCTTTAAACCCACAGTTGAAGAGGAGACAACTGAACTGGAAGAAAGGGAAGAAGTGGAAGCAGAACAAACTGAAGAGAATCACACTGAAGTGGAACAAAAGGCTGATTCTACTGGAGCTATTTCACCAGCTGCCCATCCAACAGAGCTAACAGCCACAAACACAACTGCATTGGCATCAGAAGAGGAAAGTGTCTGTTTGCAAACAGATATTGGACAGCAGGTACCACTGTTCTTCTAGTATTGACATTAATAACTTATGACAAACAGCACAAATGTACTTTTTATTGGAAAGCGTGTTTTCTTAGAGCCAGTCGAATGCTTTCTTTAACTGAGAAACCCATAAGAACATAAGAACTAGGAGCAGGAGTAGGCCATCTGGCCCCTCGAGCCTGCCCCGCCATTTAATAAGATCATGGCTGATCTTTTTGAGACTCAGCTGCACCTACCCGCCCACTCACCATAACCCTTAATTCCTTTACTGTTCAAAAATTTATCTAGCCTTGCCTTAAACACATTCAGTGAGGTAGCTTCAACCGCTTCACTGGGCAGGGAATTCCACAGATTCACAACCCTTTGGGTGAAGAAGTTCCTCCTGACCTCAGTCCTACATTTGCTTCCCTTTATTTTGAGGCGATGCCCTCTAGTCCTAGTTTCACCTGCTAGCGGAAACAACCTCCCTGCCTCTACCTTATCTATTCCCTTCATAATTTTATATGTTTCTGTAAGTTCTCCCCTCATTCTTCTGAATTCCAATGAGTATAATCCCAGTCTACTCAGTCTCTCCTCATAATCCAACCCTCTCAACTCTGGAATCAACCGAGTGAATCTCCTCTGCACCCCCATCCCTACTCAAGTAAGGAGACCAAAACTGCGCACAGTACTCCAGGTGTGGCCTCACCAGGACCCTATACAGCTGCAGCATAGCCTCCCTGTTTTTAAACTCCATCCCTCTAGCAATGGCAGACAAAATTCCATTTGCCTTTTTAATTACCTGTTGCACCTGCAATCCTACTTTTAGCGATTCATGCACAAGGACACCCAAGCCCCTCTGCACAGCAGCGTGCTGCAATTTTTTACCATTTAAAACATAGTCCATTTTGCTGTTATTCCTACCAAAATGGATGACCTCACACTTATCAACATTGTACTCCATCTGCCAGACCTTTGCCCACTCACTTAGACTATCTATATCCCTCTGCAGACTTTCAGTGTCTTCTGCACACTTTGCTCTACCACTCATCTTAGTGTCATCTGCAAATTTTGACACACCACACTTAGTCCCCAACTCCAAATCATCTATGTAAATTGTAAACAATTGCGGTCCCAACACTGATCCCTGAGGCACACCACTAGCCACTGACCGCCAACCAGAAAAACACCCATTTACCTCTACTCTTTGCTTTCTACTGGTCAACCAATCCTCTATCCATGCCAATACATTACCTGTAATACCGTGCAACTTTATCTTATGTAGCAGCCTTTGGTGTGGCACCTTGTCAAATGCCTTCTGGAAATCCAGATACAATACATCCACAGATTCCCCATTGTCCACCATGCAAGTAATGTCCTCAAAGAATTCCACCAAATTAGTTAAACATGACCTACCCTTCATGAACCCATGCTGGGTGTTCCCAAAGGGAGAATTTATATCCAGATGTCTTGCTATTTCTTCTTTAATGATAGATTCAAGCATTTTCCCCACTACCGAAGTTAAGCTAACTGACCCATAGTTACCCGCATTTTGTCTACTTCCTTTTTTAAACAGTGGCATCACATTGGCTGTTTTCCAATCTGCGGGAACCACCCAAGAGTCCAGTGAATTTTGGTACATAATTACTAGTGCATTTGCTATTTCCCCCATTACCTCTTTTAGTACCCTGGGATGCATTTCATCAGGGCCAGGAGACTTGTCTACCTTTAGCCCCATTAGCTTGCCCAGCACTGCCTCCTTAGTTATAATGATAGCTTCTAGGTCCTCACCTGCTATAACCTTCTTGCCATTAGTTTTCGGCATGTTATTTGTGTCTTCCACTGTGAAGATCAACACAAAATAACTGTTTAATGCCTCGGCTATTTCCTCATTCCCAGTTATTAAATTGGCCTTCTCATCCTCTAAAGGACCAATGTTTACCATCGCCACACTTTTACGATTTACATAATTATGGCAACTTTTGCTGTCTGTTTTTATATTTTGAGCTAGCTTACTCTCATAATCTATCTTACTTTTCTTTACAACTTTTTTTGTGGCTTTCTGTTGCCCTTTAAAGTTTTCCCAGTCTACTAGTTTCCCACTAATCTTTGCTTTTTTGTATGTATTTTTGTTTAATCTGATACTTTCCTTTATCTCTTAGACATCCATGGCTGACTATTTCTTTTCCTACAGTTCTTCCTTATCGTTGGAATATACTTCTACTGAGCACTGTGAAAAATTTTTTTGAAATTCCTCCACTGTTCCTCAATTGACCCACCATAAAGTTTTTGCTCCCATTTTACCTTAGCTAACTCCTCCCTCATCCCATCATAGTCTCCTTTGTTTAGGTACAGGACATTGGTACTGGATTTAACCTTCTCACGCTCCATCTGTATTTTACATTCGACCATACTGTGATCGCTCCTTCGAGAGGATCCCTAACTGTGAGATCATTTATTATTCCTGTCTCATTACACAGGACTAGATCTAGGATAACTTGCTCCCTCGTAGGTTCCATTGCATATTGTTCAAGGAAATTATCGCAGATGCATTCTATGAACCCCTCCTCAAGGCTGCCATGACCAACCTGGTTTGACCAATGGATATGTAGATTAAAATCCCCCATGATAATTGCTGTACCATTTTTACATGCATTAGCTATTTCTATGTTTATTGCCCGCCCCACCACGATGTCATTATTTGGTGGCCTATAGACCACACCTATCAGTGACTTCTTCTCCCTGCTATTCCTAATTTCCACCCAAATGGATTCAACCTTTTGTTCAATAGAACCTATATCATCTCTCACTACCGCCCTGATATCATCCTTAAAAATCACAGCAACACCACTTCTCTTACTTTCCTGTCTGTCCTTCCGAACAACTTGATACCCCTGGATATTTAACTCCCAATCATGACCATCCTGCAACCATGTCTCTGTAATGGCCACTAAATCATACCATTTGCCATGATTTGCGCCGTCAATTCATCCACCTTGTTTTGAATGCTCCAAGCATCCAGATAAAGTGCCCTTATGCCAGTTTTTGCACCTTCTTTTTGGGTCCTATCACCTGCATTACTAACAGCTCTTGAGTTCTCCTTCCCTTTAACTTTTTTTCCTAATTTTCAATGGAGTTGAAGCTTCCTCGTCACCTGCTAACCTGCTGCTTTGCCTTACATTAATGTTTGATAGTTTTCAGTGAAATCAATTGTCCTTTATGCCAAGATTCTGCAAAGGTAAAAGGATAAGCTATGAGCAAGAACAAAATTCAGGCCTCCACTCCAAACCCAGTTATTCGCTAATTCTTGCAATATTCTCCTAGGCCTTTCAGAGCTATGATAAACTCATAAAGGTGGAAGATGCCTGTATTTCAATTAACTGCAGTTTGATATAATTGGTATGCAAGTAATTATTTAATTTGGTTAAACAAATATGAAAATTAGATTTAATCTCACTTTCACAAAATAACTGTCAATAATTCAGAATAACAGACTATTAGTTCTAGCTGCTATTTTCACCATTTTTATTTTACCACAGTAGAAAATCTTACAATCATAGTGGTTCAGTTGTCTAGCCCATTTAATGACTATCCAAATCAGAAGGATTCTAATCCCATATCCTGTATTTCTGGGCAGTTAACTGATCTCTAATGGGATAGACATCGGAGAATCAGTGTCCCTCAGCTAAGGAGGGGAAACATTGATAGAATCTGCATTCCTAACTGTAGTGAACATGCTCGATTGTTTGGCTTGTATGAGTAATGGATGGATTTTGGCATCAGTTATTATACCTCCCTGTGCAGAATGAAATAGCTTCTGACACCATAAGACCATAAGATGTAGGAGCAGAAGGAGGCCATTCAGCCCATCGAGTCTACCTGTTACCTTGATCAGATCATTCTTAATTCCACATTCCTGCCATATCATCATAACTCTTCTTTCAATTAATGATTATAAGTGTGTCTCTCGCAGTCTTGAATATACTTAACAACCCAGCCTTGACAACATGTGGTAAATACTCTATTCTGAGAGAAAAGATTCCTCCTCATCTTTGTCTTATGTGCATGATCCCTTACTCTGAAAATGTGCCCTTTGGTCCTAGACTCTCCCACAAGAGGAAATAACCTCTCTGCATCTTCTCTGTCAAGCCTCCTAAGAATGTTATTTCAGTAAGCTCTCCTCCCATTATTCTAAACTTTAAGGAGTACCAGACAAATCTACTCAACATGTCCTCAGATGAAAACCCCTTCATTCCCGGTATCAAACTAATGAACCTCCTCTGGACTGCCTCCAATGCCAGATTATCTTTCCTTAGGTAAGGGGCCCAAAACTGTTCACATTATTCCAACTGTAGTCTGATTAGTGCCTTGTATAGTTTTAGCAAGACTTCCTATTTTTAACACAACATTCCCTTTGAAATAAAGGATCACATTCTATTTGCCTTCCCTATTACCTGCTGAACCTGGATGCTAGTTTTTTTTTTGTGATTCGTATCAAGGACTCCCAAATGCCTCTGCTATCTGCAGTCTATACCCATTTTAAGAATTTCAGCTCCTCTATTCTTCCTACCAAAGTATATAACGTCACATTTTCCCACATTTTACTCCATCTGCCAAGATTTGTCCTCTCACTTAACATGACCAACTCCCTCTGTATCCCCCATTTGGCTGAATCTTATGGCTTCTTTGGCTAACTTTGTTGGAGCAATTCTCACTGAATCTTACCAAACTCGCCGCATTAATTAGTTTTCCAGCCCCTGTGGCATGTATCATATTCAAATTCCGTCCTGCCATATAACACAGCATTCCCAGAACAATTTGCCACTCTTTGGTTATTCTAGAATTGACCAGCATCCCGGTGCTGGTGCCAAATTTAAAAGGCTGTGGTGGGTGCACAAGCACTGTCAATCCAGAGCTGCCTGCACAATCCCTGGCATTTGTCCCAGAGATGGCAGACAGGAGGGAAATTGATGCCTTGTAGGGACCTGGAGGTTAAAATGGGATTTCCTTTTTCCCCCGGAGCAGCAGACG